CCAGAACAGGGGACGACCGTTCAAACGAGAGTGGTGTGACTATGAACGAAATGCCTATTCCGCAAAAACTCAAAACCGTAATAATCCTGGGTCGTTTAAACCTGTGATGCGTGCATCTTGCGTTTCCAGAATACCTTTATACAATTTCAAACACATCATTGATAGTGTCTATCGTGTGCGCACTAGAATACAGCTCATCTGGGAGACTTGTTGACTATCATTTGAACACTATATCAGTAGGAGATTTTTTGGGTTGTTGATAAGAGTGCAGGAAACGGTGGCTGAAGGAGAAACAGTAAACCTTATCAGCCCATTACCAGTTCCACAATGCTGAATTAATCCAAACCGGCCAAGTATTTGGCGCAACTTATGGTGTAATCTAGAAACTTGAAGAATTCTAGTCACTCGCTGTTATTCGCAATTCTCGTTCAAGGTCTCCAGTGCTCCAAGTGTTCTTGGGGGACTGAAAATCTACCAGTTCAAAAGGAATCTCAGACTCAAGACTGTGGTGTACTGGATTCAGAGCATCAAATCGATTTTCAGCACAGTCAGATATGGCAATCGCGGAACAGTGGGTTCGTGAGTCCACTTTGAACACAGCTAGTAAGAAGCGTCTGAAATCGGAATATGGTTCGACCCTGTATCATAGTTAGGATCTCCGAAAGACAGTTGGTAGATAATCGTGGTATATCGCGATTTGCCGCAAAGGCTACACATTCAAATACTTTAGCTGTAAGCATCAAATGAGGTATGAACCTTCCGAAAACTAAAAAACTCCATTCTCCCACTGAAAACTACGGCTTACTTTCCGGTGGAAGCTCTTCCACTTCCAGGGAACACCAGATAGATATTGCCAGCATAGATATCGTTCAGCTGTAGCACCCTTTCGGTGCTATACCAGAAGCAAGCACGAGGGCTGAGGTACTGCCAAGCTGCTCATGCCTAGACAGGGGAAGTCGGAAGGTAGAGGTCGGGTTCGAACCACGGACCTTTCGGTCAGTAAATTCGTGCTCCAACCACTTGAGCCATCTCGCCCAACAGCATAGATATTGCGTATTAAGAATGTTGCCAATGGAGTTTCATGGTTTATTTACGAATCGTGCCCGCAGCGCTACCCACTTCTTGATGTTGGGCTTAATTGCAGCTTTTGTAAAAATATTTCAGTTCAGACAGCGTTGATACAAGCTTATTTGGTTCTGCAGCCCAATATCGTTTCAAGATAGAAAGGTGTACAAATACTTCAGCGCGGGGACAGCCAAGAAACTCCCCTTGTGTCGATGGTCCACATCGACAGCTGGCTTAGGTTAACGTCGAAGAAGGGACAGTGCCTCTGCTTCGTAGTTTGTCGTCCCAGGACATCGGAGAGTAGAACGTCATTCAAAGGAAAAATATGCTGAATAAAATAGATGCTTCTGTAAACGTTCTCTGCATAGAACACTATTCTTTCCATCACTCAGCTTCACTCCTATATGGTTCTGCTTTAATTCAGCTGGACGATAGATTGGCGCGGATGAAGTGAAAAAGTGAGTATGGAAGCCGATGACTACCTCAGACTTCTCTTCAAATTATTCTACCAAGCGACTCAGATACTGGTTGTTAATATCAAATGTCCTACTTGTTTCTTGATTAGCTCTCTAACAGATGGCATTCGGTGTCCTGTTTGCAGCGGTAGCAAAGGTTTCTATTATACCGTTGACCCTAACGGCTCATCTAAACGAATATGTTACGGTTTGGAGAGAGGCATCTAGTATTAAGGATCGGCAGCAAACTCTCTCAAATCCACTGGTTCGAACATACACGTGCAAAAACACCGCACACCAGTGTAGCAGTCATACTACTGATGGGGTCATGCGAGTAGTATGTTTTCCGCTTTTCGTCCCTTGAAAACGGAATTTGTGAAGCCGTTCTGTAACACTTGCTTGCAATTGAGTAACAGTCAACGAATATCCAGGAAAGTTCACGAAGATGTGTTCATTTTTGTAAACAAGATGCTCCACTGTCCAGTAGTCTGCAACTGTTCAGTTGCGATTTTCTAATGAGTAACTCTGCCGAAGAGGCCTTCTTCCCCTCACCAGGTTTTCAGGGTTGTTTCTGACAAACTTTAGACGGATGGTGCGGAAGAGGCGTTAGGAGGGAAAAACCAAGCAAGATGGAGGTTTTCACAGTTGCTCACTTTCCTTTTCTACATTCTACTTTTTGATATCGACCCTCAACAGCCACTTTGGCGTGAAGGTACATTTGTTTGTGTGCACATGGGATCTAGATACTGCCAGGTCGCCCAGACCCTCACAAGGGCAAGATCAGAGTGCCCATCCAACGCCTTCGGCCGAAATACCAGACCAAAAGGCAACGGAGTTTGGCCAAATTCCACAACAGTAATATAAAATGCAGGGCATAGATTAGTATCCTTGTTGCAGTCATCAAACTAGAGGTCCAGAAGACTGCTTGTCAGACATCTACCAAGTATATATATATATGTATATATATATATATATGTACATGTACTTAT